ACCCCTGGTGTGCATTGTAGGAAAAGCACTAAACTGCTAACAGCAAGATTGGCAGTTCAAACCCACCAGCTGCTTCTGGGAAACCTTCTGCACAGTCAGGAATAGTAGAAACAGATTCAAAGACATTTAAAAAATAATAAAAACAAAAAAAGAAGGAAGGAGAAAGAAGTTATAAAGGAAGTTTGTTAATACAGAGTAACTTAATTTGTCAGGTCTCTGCTTTTCCAGGTAATCTCTAAATAAATCGGCATGAAAATTAATGTCCACACTTATTTTTTTTAGACTCTTCACAGATATTAATACAGAGAATAATAACCATTGATATAGTACAACAATGAAACAAGACACCTCAGTCTCTGTTCTGGAACGAGTCCTTGCAGCATCAGCTTTCTAATGTCCCTAGAGAGAGTCAGAGAAATCTGATTCCATGTTCAATGTCCATGTATTATACTGGAGAAAAACAGCCACACACTCCTTTGAATTATCAGAATCTTTGTATGTATCTATGAATATTTATATAGAGAGATAAATTAGCTGTATTCTGCCGGATAGAGTTGGCTATATACCAGAAAATGTTCTACACTAGCTTAACACTTTCACTTATATCAAAAAATACTTTATTAAATCAAAATGGCAAGAGAATGGATTGAATTAACACAAAACTTCCTTTCTGTCCTATAGCTCCCTAAGTTTGACAGTTGAATTCTGATAAATATACAAATTTTATTATATGTCATAATTATATTGAGAATGAAACAATTTTTAACAAATTGAGACTATTTCTTCTTGGGATGGCATGCATTTGATCATGTTTAGGATAGAAGTATGTAGATAAGAGCTTAAAATCAATAATAATAATCTGTATATATTTAGAAGGCAGTGAGAAGTACAAGATATGTAACAGTGGTAATCCATCACAGTGACAAACATGAAAAACCAGTCTGACCTCTGTCCTCAATAACTTCATATTCTAATTGGGTTTGGAAAAGATGAAACTAAGTTCTTAGTCATTTCACCTGTGTTGCTAAGTGCTGTGAATTCATAGCGTTAGTTCACCTTCCGAGGCTTTTAAATCTTTTTAGGAGCAGAAAGCCTCATCTTTCACTGATACATTAAAGTAGCTTTCTCTATTGGTCTGGATTCTAGGTAAATCTGAGCTAATTTCTCTTCTTTGCATTTCAAGGAAGTTCTCCAAAGGCTAGTTAAGAATGAATACAGTGTTAATAGTTTAAATATAGCTTGACTTTGTAGCCAGGAGTATTGAAATTAAATTCTGGTTAATCTTAACAAAGATATTTAACTTGGAAAAACATCTGTTTTACCTACCTGTATAATGGGAAGATGGGGAAATTCCACCACTGTTGTTCAGTGCCATCGAGTAGGTTTCAACCTATAGCGACCCTGTATAGGATTTCCTAGGAGCAACTGGTGAGCTTGAACAGCCGACCTTGCGACCTTGCAGTTCAAATGGCTTTACAGTCTGGCAAATTAACCTACAACACCACACCAGGACTCCAATTCCACCATATGTAGTAGGAAAAAAAGCTGTAATAATGTATTCAAGGAGTCCTGGTGAGGCGCTGTGGGTTAATGCGCCAGACTGCAAAGCCGTTTGAACTGCAATGTCCGTGGTTCAAGCTTACCAGTTGCTCCTAGGAAACCCTATACAGGGTCGCTATGGGTCAGAATCGACTCAATGGCACTTAACAACAAAAACAATGTATTCAAAAGTACTTTGAAGCCATAAAGCTATGTGAGCTACTGTATCAAGCCACCACATAGTGTGAGGTATATTGGAAACCCTGTCAGTGAAGTTCAGAAAGGGCACTCTATTTTAAGGACAAATCAAAAGTGCCCAAAGACCTGGAGAGCACCACCCTATCTCCTGTTTTTGCATGGCTGTCACAGATTTGTCCACAATGACCATTTTTTAACTTGGGTGGGATTTCCATAAACTATCTACTTTTTATTTTGTTAGTACTATTTATACAAGGAGCTCTGGTAGCGTAGTGGTTACGAATCGGGCTGCGAACCTTAAGGTCAGCGGTTCGAAACTACCAGCTGCTCCGCGGGAGAAAGATG